GAATCAGGGCCTTCATCTTTATCTCCTTCTTCTTCAGTTTCCTCTCAGATTTTCTCCTCGGTTCCTGAATACTCGGCGTTGGTATTTGAGGAGTAAGAAGCATTAGACCGAGCTAGGAGGTTTTTGAGAGCGGTTATCTCCAGTTCATGAGCTTTGGCAATGCAGTCATCAATGTTTGCAATGCCTTCTTTTGCCTCCTCCAAAGTCTTCCTATTCGTATGATATATGGCATAGGTTTTCTCAAAGACGATAGAATCTTCATGGTCTCAGAGTTTAGCTTGTAGTTTATCAATCTTGGATTGGAGCTTTTCATTTTCAGCTTTAATAATGCTGATTTTTGAATCATGCTCAACATTGGTGGTCGAGTGAAGTTGATTCTGCTCCATGACCCTTTTGAGACTTTCTTCCATTATTGCTCTCTTATCCTCACCCGCATTGACCACATCGGTTTTAGAGTGTAATCTAGCCTCCAAGTTGTTGACTTGCTCCATCAAAGCAGACTTGTGCTCGGCAGTAGTAGTCACAGTATCATGCAGTTCAGTGCACTTAGCCTTTGCTTCCTTAAGGTTTTCATGTAGTTGAGCAGCTTCTTGATTGTGAACCATTCTATCTTGCTCGGATTGTCGTAACCGAGCCTCGAGATCATCTATTTGAGCAATTTTTGTCTCTAGCACCGAGAGGCGCTCGACAAATTAATTTCGTTCGGCTAAAAGTCATGTTCTGCAATAAGTTCTTGCTTGGCCAAAATCAACCTTTGCAGGCCTTCGGAAACAAGAAGGTTGGCCTGAAAAGGCTAAAGTAAAAATTATTAGTGTAGAGTGAAAATGAAAAAGAGTTGGAAGAAAGTTAAATGGATACCTGCGCCAAATAACGCATGTTGTTGTTTAGAAAACATTCACCGAAGAGAGAATCCATCTTTCTCCAGTCTTTTTCTGAGGCCAGTAGCTTCAGATAATTGGCAAGCTCTACCGGCTTGGAAAGTATGTGGCATTCATTCAAAACCGTAAGGGTGACACTTCGATTGCCACTAAGGTTTTGAGTGGGTGATGGGAAAGTATTCCCTAGACGATTCCCATAATCGGATGAATGTGAGGAAGGGGTGTTTATTGTTTGTTCAGTTGGAGCTAGTGGAGAGATAGCAGCTGGTGGAGAAAGAGATGCGGTTGCGACATGTTCAGAAGTTGAAGGCGGGGGAAGGTCAGAGGGTGAACTCTTTTGACCAGAAGCAGTTGTGGAGATTCGAAAATGAGATGAATCGTTCTCGGCCATTTCCAATTTCTCCAAGAGTCCTTGAACTTCTTCTGGTGGTGGAGTTTGAAGCTCACCCGGTTGAGCTTCTGGTTGAGCTGATGAAGATCTTTTTCTTCTCTGAAAGGAAACCGCTTCATCATCGATTCCTTCATCATCAAGAACCACTATAGAGGGTCCAGTTGGTGTTTCTTTCACTATCGTCTCCCGAGTCCCCGGCAGGGGAGGTATGTTTCCTCTTTGGTTTCTTTTTTTGGGATGGGGACTCCGGGAGGAGGCACCTTCACTAGAAGTGCAAGTAGGTTCGCGAGCTCTCCTCCGATTAAGGGCATTTTGCAGTACCCGTTCGGCTTCCTCCGGGTCATCGAAAGCCTCAATGTCTAGGCATACAACGGATCCCTTCGGAAGTCCTATGTGATACAAGAAGATAGTTAAATTGTTTCCAAGATATATTGAAAGATTGAAAGAACGGATAATTTTTGTTTACCATGATTTTTGGCTTTCCATCCATATTTGGGTGCCATTTCTTTTCACCTTCGGGACTCTGGCATAGTAATATTCAGAATTTTCTGTACCCATTGGGCCAGATCTTGAACCTGTGGTGGCTTCCAATAAGTAGCTGGAAAAGGTAAATATAAAGTTAGTAAGGAAGGAAGGACTTTTTGAACATAAAAATAAAGAGAAATTTGAAGACTTACGAAGAAGATTCCATGATTCAGGAAAAGCAAGTGTTGTGTCCGGAAAGATATCCCTGGTAGCAATAATAACAAACCATTCCATCAATTTATGGTCGTTGTCGTCGTCAACGCTAGTAAGGAGGGCATGATGGCTGCGCTTGTTAAGTTTTAGAACACCCCCACGGAGAATTTTAGGGGAGTAGAGACTCATCATGTGTGTGAGAGTTAAGGTTTCCCTCATAACACAATTGGCAGAGGCAAGCCACCATACGCCATACGGATAGGCCTACTTGTGCCAAATAGACTTGATATTAGTGGGAAAACTCTAAGATTATTAGGTCAATTCCTTTACTCGCTCCTAAAGTGAAAGGGCCCAAAGTGAAATGTTATGTATAAACATACATGAATCCTAGTTTGGTGAAGATGATTCTTTCTACCTCATTAGGGGTGAGGATTTCAACGTTGTTCCAACTACATTCCTCCTACATGACAGGAATGGACGAATGGAAGAAGGGTACCTACGAACATGCTAGTGTCTGTCACTTTTGGGATTTGTAGGTTCATTCTGTTATTGAATGTCAGATTTTGTGCTAAGATGAAGAGGTATGATGGTGTTTACAGTAAGAGGTTTTGATTCAACATCATTCTCATTTTTCGGTCTCATTTGTTTTATTCATCTGTATGGGGCAAAATCGGTTAGTGACAGTTGTACGAATGACAAAGTGATACATGAAACCAAAGGCAGGTGGGACGTGAATCAACAAACAGCTGGCACCGGGTGCAAGCATGTGACCGATGTTGGATGAATCCCGAAGACAAAGTAGCCGATAACAAAAGTTCGAAATACGGACATCGGATAACTTTCAATTACATAGAATATCTGCATTTATAGCCAATCGTTATGCAGCCATCAATGGCGATTTTATTCACATTCGATAGGAGCTTTGGGGGGGATCTTGTCTCCCTAAATAAAGCAATAAATAGGGAAATTAGCATCATTTGTAGACACGAAACATTCTGTATGAAAAATCTATAATCTGCTCTCATTCTATTTTGTTCTTAATTTTGTTCTCGCCATTGCTATCGGAGAAGCTAAAAACTTAGCCAGGCTTGCATTCCCTTTAATTTTATTTCATAATCTTATTTCTCTTCTTATTTGCTTCGTATTTTTGAGTCAAATCAATTCACTTGTCTTTAAACCATGTTACAAATTCAATTGTATCATTTTACGGGTAAACAAGAAGCGCATCCAATCAGAGGCGAATCTAGGATTTCTAGAACATGGGTGCACCATTAACGAAAGGAGAAAAAAAAGTATTAAATAGGAATTGATCCTTGTTCCTCAAGGTGAATAACTCAGCTTTAAACCAAATGCACTACTCAACCTTTTTGGAGCATGAGTGCCAATAGATAATATTACACCAATTCTAGAGAATATGTACATAAAATACTTAGTTTGACAAAGAGATCATGGGTTCACGTACCCCATATTTTACGCCTAAATCCTCCCTTGCATCCAATGGTAAATAATGTTAATGAGTCTAGCAACAACATGGATTCAAATTCAAGTCACAGATAGAGAGCATGGTTTGAATACAAAACGAAGATCCAAGGAAGCAATTGCTAGCACAAATTGCAGAAGTAAAAGTAGCTTGGAATCAAAGCAGGGGCGGACCCACCTTATAGCAAGGGGTTCAGTTGAACCCGCTTCGTCAAAAAAATTAATTAATTTTACTTGTGAAGTTCATCAGAAAATCATGACAGAAGATAATATTATAAGACATGAACCCTCTTGACACAAATGGAAGCTGTGGCAAAGAGGGTTCATAGTGTGGGCTGAGGTCAAAAGTTCGAATCTCTACTAAAGCGTTAACTTATATTTTTTCCACATTGCATTTTATGTTCCAGTTATTTACGTAACTATTTTAGCTATTCTTATTAAACTCAATTTTAATTCAAAAAAAAAAAATTAAACCTTTCCATTAAGTGAGTTTTGGTTCTCTCTTGCATAGTTTCTGCTAAAATATGAGAGTGCTTTGTTGAGATTATTTGTAATTTTTTAATTTAATGTTTAGTTTATGTATGTTGGAATTGTTGATTTGTGTTATACTAAAAAATTTAGTTTGATGCTTACTCTTTTACTTTAAAAGTTTATATCAATTATTTAGTTCATAACTCCCTTTTTTACTTTTTTTTTTGTTTGTAATTACTTATTATGTTAAATTTCTTAGAGTTATAAGATTTTTAAATTGGTTAAAAAAAAATTGTTCAAATTAATAAATTTTCAAATTTGTTGAAGTAAAATTTGTTTATATATATAGATAAAGTTTCAAAAATTAAAAGTAAATAGTTTTTTTTTAAAATCCCACCTTTGATTGTAAAATAGCGTCAATGACTTTATTTCGAGGTCACATGTTGAACAAAAATAAGTAGTCAGCAAATTCTATTTACCGGTGCCGCTTATACAAGTGACTATTATGCTTTTTGACTGAAATCGCTTGTATAAAATTCTAGGTCCGCCACTGAATCAAAGTAATGTAAGTATTGATTTCGTTAAAGCAATAAAGCAGCTTAAATTCTAAAAATAGAAGTTTTGATGCATATTCAAGTCACATCACAAGGGGGAGTCATAACATTAAAGCAAATGATTCAAATCATCAGTAGAGTATAGAATTAAAAACACATAACTGTACCTTGTAATTAAACTTTTTTCATATGTCATATTTTAATTTTTGCAAACTTATACATTTTGGATATGATTAGTGTTGACACAGGTGATTATGTGAGTAAGCTTTTTGAATAGGGAAAAGGTCCAAAATTACCCCTCTACTATGATATATTGTTTACTTCTGCCATCCGTTATACTTTTCGTCCAATCTAGCCCCTACCGTTAATCAACTTTTTAAAATTACCCCTAACCCTAACGGATCTACACCGTGGCAGCTGAACCCCCTCAATTGTTTCCATGTCAGATGCCATATCAGTTGCTAAGTCACTCGACCCCACCAAGTTAATACCCCATAGACCCCATTACATTCTCCATTGACAAAGAATTAGGGCTCACACGACCCCAATCCTATTTTCCTCAGCCTTCAATGTCGCAAGGAAGCTATTCATCCCAAATTAGGTATCGTTGTGGCATCATTGCAAACCACTTCACTTCAACGGCTCTATTAAACCCTGGAAGGCGATTTTATAAATGTCTGAAGCCTAAGGTTAGTGATTCTCTAACAAAAGCTCTAAATTATTATTAGTTTACTCTAAATTATATGCTAATAATAAAAATCTTTGGGTCTTCTCTGGTTTTTTTGTCTTCGACAGACTCATTCTTGTGGTTATTTTGAATAGGAAGATGAAATCTCATTGAACAGAGATTTGGTTACAACTAAAGATCTAACATCGTCTTGCGAAGCGATTAAAATTGATAGGGATAAATTGAAAGAAGAATTAACTGCCATGGAGGCTCTACACCAAGCTGAAGCTGCAAAAGTAATAAAATTAGAAAAGAAGGTTTTGAAGACGAGGATGATGCTTATGATTTCATGGGCACTTTTTGTTGGATTTGTTGCGGCGTCAATGATAAAGTGAATTTTGGTGAGTCTTGTTGATGTCTATTGTTGTGACCTTTTTTTAGTAAATATGTTTTGTTTTTAGTTTTCTTCTCGTTTGAATAGGTGCATCTTTATTATCATTTTGTTGATGTAATGTTGGTGTTATGTATTTTGTTTTGAACCGTTTACATTAGTTAATGTAATCTTAGTTTTATGTATTTCGTTGGAAGCTATATTATTTATTGATGTTGTATGTGTTCATAGTCATCTTTCTGTATGTATTCGAGGGAACCAATTGTGATGAACCTGCTATATTATTAGTTGATGTTACATAGCAGTTACACAGTGATAACCTTCAGATTCCGAGATATGGGCTAATGAACATAGCAGTTACAAAGCACACAAATTGCATGTGTTGAAAGCATTATCTCTGTCAAAATCTGGACAATATATTATAGTGATGAATCTGCAGACTCCTAAATCTTGAACAATGAAGGGGTTGGACAGCATCTATAAATTGGACAATGAATAACAATGAAACGAACATTTAAATTCATAAACTAATAGTTGCTTCATTCACAAGGGAATGTCACATTAACACCCCAAAAAAATATCACAACCAAGTGACAACATGACATCCAAGTTTCCCCAACTAAACAGTCAAACTACATTAAACCCCACACAAGGGGAAGTCACATTATCACCCCAAAATATTACACAACCAAGAGATAACATGTGATGACCCAAAAGGTCATCTTATATTTTAGAACTCGATTCTGCTCTTTTAAGCTTTAAAATCTTATTTTTTACCCTCTTCGATTTGCGTGATCAGTCCGGGCATGTTTCCGGAAAACTTTTATGTTAAAAACTTATGAAAATAAGAATTTATGCCTTAAAAGTTCATTTTAGTTGATTTCGGTCAATATTTTTGGTAAACGAGTCCGGATCCATATTTTGATGGTCCCGGTGGGTTCGTATCGAATTATTTTCTGCAGATTTCGGTGCCTTCTGGTTTCCTTCTTCGCATTCGCGAAGGCACTCTCGCAAACGCGAAGTAGAAACTGAGATGGCTGATTTTTACTCTACGCGAATGCGAAGGCCTGGTCGCGAACGCGAAGTGATGGGGGATTTACCCTTCGCGAACGTGACCGGCTCATCGCGAACGTGAAGCATATGGGACCGAGGGGAGGGTTGGTCGTTCCTTATTGGCGAACGTGAGTAATGTCTCGCGAACGCGTAAGCCAGGGGGTAGCCTACGCGAATGCGAATAAGGTCTCGCGAACGCGAAGGCTTGGCAGCCTATACTCATCGTGAACGTGATAGTGCTCTCGCAAACGCGATGAACACTATCGCCCAACACTTAAAACAGAATCAAAACGGGACTTAAGCCATTTCTTCAACATTTTCAAGAACCAAACGGTTAGAGGCGATTTTCAAGAGTTGTTTTCTTCCCCAAAGTGTTGGTAAGTAATTCTAAACCATTTTCTTTCAATTACCCATTACATTTTATGAATTATCAACCTAAAATCTAGAGTTTTCATGGTAGAATTAGAGGTTTGGATAGAAACTAGAAATTTCAAAAATTTGGGGATTTAGACCTCAATTTGAGGTCGGATTCCAAAATTAATTATATATCCGAGCTCGGGGTGAACGGGTAAATAGATTTTGGTTTGAACCTCGGGTTTTGACCAAGCGGGCCGGGGTCAATTTTTTAAATTTTTGGAGGAAAATTTGGAAAATTTAATTTATACAATATAATTGATTCCTTTAGCAATATTTGATATTATTGAGTCATTTTTGAATAGATACGAGTGGTTTGGAGGTGAATTCTAGAGAAAAAGTTGTGGTTGAGAATTAAGTGGCCTTCGGAGCGAGGTAAGTGTTGTGTCTAACTTGGACTTAAGAGAATTAGGAACCTCAGACTATTTACTATGTGAAATTCATGTGAGCGGCGCATATATAAGGTGACGAGTACTTATGCGCCGCCAATTTACCTGTTTTTCATGTTTCTTCCGTTTTTCTTATATTATCTTTTTCCTATGCCTAATTGCTACGTGTTTATACTAGTGTTGTTAAATTGATCGTTCTTTTCATGTTTACGAATTTTTTGGTGATAATTGAGTATTTATTTCTAAGTTGAGATTGAATTGTGGAACCAAACGTTGAAGTAAGGCATGTACTTGTTATTCTATCTCCATGTTGTTATTTATGCATTGCATTATGGTAAGGGAGAGTGTAAAAGCACGAAGGGTGATGTCGTGTCATATTATGAGTGTTAATGCACGAAGGGTGATGTCGTGCTATATTGTGAGTGTTAATGCACGAAGGATGATGTCGTGCCATACTGTGAATGTAAAAGCACGAAGGGTGATGCCGTGCCATATTGTGAGTGTCAATGCACGAAGGGTGATGCCGTGCCATGATATGAGAGTTAATGCACGAAGGATGATGCCATGCCATTTCTACTGATTTTATAGTGAGATTGAGAGTAAAAGCACGAAGGGTGATACCGTGCATTTTTCCTTTACTGTATTCGTTGTTTCTGTTGATTCATAGTACATTGGTTGTTCCAATTATCATTCTGCTGTAGTTCTTTATCTCGTATATCCCCCAGCATATTTTTTCCTTCCAATATTTCCTGTCTAGCTCTTCATTACTGTTATTTGTATATACACTGTTAAATTGTACAGGTTGATTTGTAGGTGCCTTGCCTTAGCCTCGTAACTACTTCGTCGAGGTTAGGCTCGACACTTACCAGTACATGGGGTCNCACGAAGGGTGATGCCGTGCCATGATATGAGAGTTAATGCACGAAGGATGATGCCATGCCATTTCTACTGATTTTATAGTGAGATTGAGAGTAAAAGCACGAAGGGTGATACCGTGCATTTTTCCTTTACTGTATTCGTTGTTTCTGTTGATTCATAGTACATTGGTTGTTCCAATTATCATTCTGCTGTAGTTCTTTATCTCGTATATCCCCCAGCATATTTTTTCCTTCCAATATTTCCTGTCTAGCTCTTCATTACTGTTATTTGTATATACACTGTTAAATTGTACAGGTTGATTTGTAGGTGCCTTGCCTTAGCCTCGTAACTACTTCGTCGAGGTTAGGCTCGACACTTACCAGTACATGAGGTCGGTTGTACTGATACTGCACTCTGCACTTTTTGTGCAGATTTTGGTACCGGCTCGGGTTGATCGAGATTTTGCTATTGGACTGCTATTCGGAGACTCAAGGTATATCTGTCGGCGTTCACAATATAAAGTCTAAAATTAATTAATGTTAATATATTCTCTCTATCTCTCTCAATCTCTCTCTCTCTCTCTCAGACCTTGAAGTCCCCGTCTATCTTTTCTGTTTTACTGTTTCTTTCATTCAGACAGTTGTATTTCTTTCAGACTATTATTTGTAGTGAATTCTAGAATGCTCGTGAATTGTGACTCCAGATCTGAGTGATAGTAATTAAGGCAATTTTTATATTAATTCGTACTTATTATATTTTATCTTAGCTAATTATGGTTATTTACTGAATGGAAATAAGGATTTGGTTTAATGATTCTCTAACGTTGGCTTGCCTAACAAGCGAAATGTTAGGCGCCATCACAGTCCCGACGGTGAAAATTCCGGATCGTGACATAACATGACATTCGAGTTAACAGGTCACTAACTAAACAGTCACACAACCAAAAATAACAAGTTACCTAACAGTAATTACATCACAACCAAAAATATACAAACATAATAGAGTTCAATAGCTCCATATTCCAGAACACCAGATTGTATTAAATCTGCTTCTTCCCATTACCCTTCTTTGCTTTCAACTTGGCCAATCTTTGTTTGTTAAGCTGATTACTAGTAATAGCATTTTTCCCCTGCCATTGCAGCTTCTTTGGTGAGAATGAAAATTTTGATAGCTCACTCACACCACTGGCATTACCAACAAATCCAATTGCCTTTGTTCCAATTGTTGTACTTTGTAGTTGCCTCAACTGTAGCCTAGTCTTTGCCTCAGAGATACTTCTTCGCCTTATAGCTATTTCAGGCTCTGTATCAAAGTCTGGGAAGGCACTGCAGCTTGGTTCTTGCCTCTGCACTGAAGGGGTTGGCATAAACAACAAGTTGTTGGATTGACTTGTTTGAGTAGGCTGACTTGGCTGAGGGGCTGACAAAGGAATTTCCTCATCAGTGGCTTCTTGTGGCACTGGTGCAGGAGAAGGAGATCTGGGCTGTTCATCATCAGTAGCTTCATCAAGTAAAGTTCTCTTCCTTTTTGTCTGCTTTCCCTTTCTTCTTGCCTCCAATGGGCTGCTTTCTTTTAGAATGCTGTTAGTAAGAAAGAAAACTTTTATTAGATGTTGAAAGAAAAAGAATGATAGAAAAAGTTATAGTATTGATTACTTTTGCACACCCTCTACTATTGTTTCCAGGTTTACCACAGTTGCTACATGTTATTACCCTCCCTTTCCTTCACTGAGACCATTGCTCTTGCCTATTAATTTCCTCATTTTTTTCTCTTGTTCTCTTAACTTTTGCTCTCCTAGCCATCTTTACCAAAGGAGGTGGAGCCATGTATTGTGAAGGGTCAATTTTCCAGAACTTTTATTCTCTTACTGGTTGTAACTTATGTGAATAAGTTAGGAGATAAGACTCATTGGTAAGGTACCAATGAATCTCACTTAGAGGGTCCACTTTCTTGTACAATAATACACATATTGCATGAGAACATGGAATGCTACAAAGATCCCATGCCCTGCAGGTACATTTCTTTAACCTCAGATTCACAATGTGCCTGTCACTACTTTCAGTCACCTCATATCCATTGTCTGCACTGCCATTGAAATGACACTTCAATGCAATCCTCATGAATTGGTTGTACAACTCCATCATGATGAAAAACTAAGTCAACTAGCATCATCTTTAAAAGGCTGCATAGTAATCATGAATAAAGTTATTACAGTCTACCATAGTAAATGCATAAATAAATAACAAAGACAAGAGGTACAGAAATAATAAATAAATATGTAAGAAAAAGCCTGAAT